AAAAAAAAAAAAAAAAAAAAAAAAAAAATAAAAAACCCACCATGGGGAGTTGCCAAAGAGTTTGGAATCCTGGAATGGTTGAGGGTGGAAAAGACCTTTCAGATCATCAACTAAACCCCTCTAAAACATGTTCCCAAGTGCAACATCCACGGGTTTTTGGAGCATTTCCAGGGATAGGGGCTCCACTACTTTCCTGGACAGCCTGTTCCAATGTTTTCCAACTCTTCCCAAGAAAAATTTTCATAGAAACCTCCCCTGGCCTTCACCAAGAGCTTTTTAGGCAGCAACTTGTGTGTGGAATGCCCGTGTCGGATTGGGAAGGATGGGGAAAGAGGGGTCAACTCAGAGCTCTGGGCTTGCAGCAGCCAGGAAAAATCACTTTAAAAGGCCTCCCCAGAAAGGGAAATCCTCCCGAAACTTCCTAGTTTACAATTTTACAAACAATTAAAACAAATAAACCAATAAAAAATCCCCACATCCCACCCCACACATCAGGCAGGGATCTGCACTAATTCTCATTTTTGCCACCTCCCCTTTCAGGTGTGGAATTCTGGAACAAAAAAATTCTATTTAAAGATAAGAAAAACAGAAAAAAAGAATAAAAAACCCCACCATGGGGAGTTGCCAAAGAGTTTAAAGCAGCCAGGAAAAATCACTTTAAAAGGCCTCCCCAGATAGAGATATCCTTCCAAAACTTCTTATTTTACGATTTTACCGAAAAAAATATGTTTTATGAAATAATAAACCCATCATTTCTATCAGGAAGTCTTTTAACAACAACCGGCCGCGTTCGCTCGGGACGTCATTACTTCGAGGGCATCCCCCACGTTCCCATCCCCACAAATCAGGCATGGATCCCTTTCCAGATCCTAAAAAAGGCCAAAATTGCCTCCTGGGATTCCTACCTGGGTAAAGAAGGGCTCGTAGATCTCCACTCCCTTGTCAGAGCCCTGCAGCAGCACCTCCTGCCCGCGGCGCCAGCTGTACCGCACCGGCGGGTTGGAGTTGGCCACGCACCTGAGGAACACGGTTTTCTCATAGTAAAACTGCTCCTTGGCCTCCCCAATGCTCTGGTGGACTGTCACTATGGGATCATCCAAATCTGGGAAGATACAGGAAGACAAAGCAAGAGAAAGTCAGGCTTTAGTTGAGTCTACGACAGGAAGATTGTGCGTCGCGTTATATACAAGTCAGCAGCAAAACAGAGGAAAAACAGCTCCATAAGCCACAAATTGTAGGGATTTTTCAGCAAAACTCAGTTTTGGAGCTTGTTTTCATGTGGAGTTTTAAATTTCATTTCTCAGGAAGAAAAGCAAGAGAAAGTCAGACTTTAGTTGAGTCTACGACAGGAAGATTGTGCGTCGCGTTATATACAAGTCAACAGCAAAATAGGAAAAACAGCTCCAGGAGCCACAAATGGTAGGGATTTTGCAGTAAAATTCAGTTTTGGAGCTTGTTTTCACGTGGAGTTTAAATTTTATCTGATATTCTTTCAGGAAGACAAAGCAAGGTAAAGTCAGGCTTTAGTTGAGTCTATGACATGAAGCGTGTGCGTCACATCATACAGAAGTCAACAGCAAAACAGAGGAAAAACAGCTCCAGGAGCCACAAATTGTAGGGATTTTGCAGCAAAACTCAGTTTTGGAGCTTGATTTCATGTGGAGTTTAAATTTAATTTCATTTTCTCTCAGGAAGACAAAGCAAGATAAAGTCAGGCTTTACTTGAGTCTACGACAGGAAGATCGTGCACCACGTCATATACAAGTCAAGAGCAAACAGAGGCAACACAGCTCCATAAGCCACAAATTGTAGGGATTTTGCAGTAAAATTCAGTTTTGGAGCGTGTTTTCATGTGGAGTTTTAAATTTCATTTCTCAGGAAGATAAAGCAAGATAAAGTCAGGCTTTAGTTGAGTCTATGACATGAAGATCGTGTATCGCATTATGTACAAGTCAAGAGCAAACAGAGGCAACGCAGCTGCAGGAGCCACAAATTGTAGGGATTTTGCAGCAAAATTCAGTTTTGGAGCTTGTTTTCATGTGGAGTTTAAATTTAATTTCATTTTCTTTCAGGAAGACAAAGCAAGATAAAGTCAGGCTTTAGTTGAGTCTATGACAAGAAGCACACGCATTGCATTATATAGAAGTCAAGATCAGAGGCAACACAGATTTTAGGGATTTTGCAGCAAAAATCAGTTTTAGAGCTTGTTTTCAAGTGGAATTTAAATTTAATCTGATTTTCTTTCAGGAAGACAAAGTAAAATAAAGTCAGGCTTTAGTTGAGTCTCCGACAAGACGCACGCGTACAAAAGTCGAGAGCAAAACAGAGGCAACAGAACCACAAATTTTAGGGATTTTGCAGCAAAATTCAGTTTGGGAGCTTGTTTTAATTTGGAGTCCTAAACTCCTAAATTCATTAGAATTTTAAACTTCATTTTAAACCCCCTTTAAAACTCCCTTGGAGCGGAGCTGCATTTCCAACTCATGCTTTTTCGACACAATAACATCTCTGATATCACTCAGGATAATGCCAATCATATTTTTATTGTGCTCCCATTACTCCTTTGCTTTCAGCTGGTTTTTTCAGCTTTACTACTTGTTTCTTTTATGCCTTTCAGACGAAATTATGAAGCTTTTTGGAAATAAATAGACAGCCTGATTTGCATCCTAATGGCAGGAGCCACCAGCGCACCGATCATGGGCACGCAGCTGTTTTTCCCTTTAGAGCCACAATTTAATCCAGCAATTTGATGCACATTCCCCTTCTTTTAGTTACAGGCATTTAACTTCCAGCAAGGTAAATTCATCACAGGCTTTAGAACACACTCCTCTTGATTAAAAGACAGATATCATATAATTATTCCCGCTGCAGCAGCTCCGAGGAAACGAGAGCCCCGGCGCGGAATTCAAGGATGGAGAGAGGGAAGGAACAAGGATTCCTTGGAATGTGAGTGCTCCAAGGTAATTAATTTGGGCTTTACTCCACCAGGAGTGAGTAGACTCCTGTTAACTGGGGGTTGTGATGAGCTTTGTCAGAAGGAACAGTTTATATTAAAGATGGAAAATTAAACCCAACCAGGGAAGCGACAGATATTTTTCCTAAATATTGGTTGAAAACACCCAACCTCCGAATGACCACCTGATTCCTTCCCAATATCCCATCTCTCCCTGCTCTCTAGCACTGGGAAGCCATTCCCTGTGTCCTGTCCCTCCATGCCTTGTCCCCAGTCCCTCTCCAGCTCTCCTGGAGCCCCTTTAGGCCCTGCAAGGGGCTCTCAGCTCTCCCTGGAGCCTTCTCTTCTCCAGGGGAACCCCCCCAATTCTCCCAGCTGTTCCCACATCCAGTCTGGGCATTTTCCCGTTCCCTCCTGGATGATGTGCCCACACAGACTGGGAAGCTCTTCCAGCCCAAACTGCTCATGAGCCTCAGATCAGTTTGTGGGACACCATTCCCTGCTCTCCAGCTTCCCAAACACTTCCTCTGCTGCCACCTTGGACCTCCTCAGGCCACAAATCCCTGTGATCCAACTGGCCAGCCAAAGAATTCGATGGGATATTGGGAAGGAATTCCTGGCTGGGAGGGTGGGGAGGCCCTGGAATAGAATTCCCAGAGAAGCTGGGACTCCAGCCCTTGGAGCACCTTTGTGCCCCCTCTGGAATCCTTCCAACAGCTCCTTCATTTATGGGGGCCCCAGAGGTGGATGCAGCATTCCAGGTGGGATCTCCAAGCACCACATTCCCACATTCCCACTCAGCCTTGACTGAAATCACCTCAGAACCTTTTTTCCCCCTAAAATTTCAACACTGTTTTGAGTAGGACTGATTTAATCACTCACCCACAAATTTAACCCTGGCTTTGCAAAGTCTGGTGTGACTCACAAATGAGAGGACAATTCCCCCCTTTTTTTGAGGCCACAATCCAGGGGAATGCAGAACAAGGTGCTCCAGTCTTCATGTGACAAAGGGAACCCACACACCCCAGTCCCTCTTCAAAGGTGGGAAATCATGGAATCCCAGAATTGTTTGGAAAGGCCCTCCAAGGTCACCCAGCCCAACCATCAACCCACCACCACCAAACCCTGTCCCCAAGTGCCACATCCACAGGTTTTTTGAACACTCCCAGTGACTCCACCACTGCCTGTTCCAACACTTAACAACCCTTTCCACGGAGAAATTTCCCTGATATCCAACCTAAACCTCTCCTGGTGGAACTTGAGGCCCTTTCCTCTCATCCCTGAAAACAAGGACAGTGGTTTTTGGGGGGAGCATCACGTGCATTTTGCTCCAACCCTGCTGGAACCACCCCCAGGGTGTTGTGTGAGGTGTCCATGAGTGCAGCAGCTCTCAGAAAATCTGGGATTTTGTCCCTTCCCAAGAACTGTGAGCCCCATGGGATGAAGGGAAAACCGCTGTTAACAAACTGAACAGCTTGGAATTCATCAAACCCCCCTGGCAAAAAGCAGTTTGCACCTAAAAAATTACTCTTCAGCTGCTCCACTCGGATTTGCATAACAAGAGCGAAGCCTCTTGATTAATTAGAAGCAAAACATGTTCCAGAATTTGCAATAATTGAAGCAATGATACCTCGTAATGGGGGCACAGATTTTAAGTAAATGTTACCCTCGTCCTACCCGACGAAACATTTAATTTAATGTCACGGGAGCAAACTGTGGAACCGGCGCTCCAAATGAGGTTGGCATTTCCTAATGAGATCTCAGTGTTGGTTTAAAGGTTATTTGAAATCCCAGCAGCATTTGGAAAGGGGGGGGTTATGCCTTCTACTCCTGCAGGAGGAAATAAAAAGGAGCGGGTGAACCGGCGGCGATTTTTAGGGCAAAACATTTTTACCCGGGATTTGGATGGGAAGAGAAGGTTTCCCACAGGAAGGATTTCCAGGTAGGCATCACCAAGTCCAGGGATCAGGAGCAAAGAATGATGAGGAAAAAGTGGGAAAAATGGCATGTAAGGCCCTTTTTTTTTTTTTTTGTATCTATTTTGGGGTCTACTTTGGGAAACCTTCCACCAGCCCAGGTTGCTCCAACCTGGCCTTGGACGCTTCCAGGGATCCAGGGGCAGCCACAGCTTCTCTGGGAATTCTATTCCAGCCCCTCCCCACCCTCCCAGCCAGGAATTCCTTCCAAATATCCCATCTAAACCTCCCCTTTTCCAGCTCAAAGCCATTCCCTGTGTCCTGTCCCTCCATCCCTTGTCCCCAGTCCCTCTCCAGCTCTCCTGGAGCCCCTTTAGGCCCTGCAAGGGGCTCTCAGCTCTCCCTGGAGCCTTCTCTTCTCCAGGTGAACCCCCCCCAGCTCTCCCAGCCTTTCTCTCATCCAGTCTGGGCATTTTTCCTTTCCCTCCTCGCTCCAAGGCCTGTCCAACCCGACCTTGGAAAATTCCAGGCATGAGGAGTTCACAACCTCTCTGGACAAGCTGTGCAAGGGCCTCACTACCCTTGGAGCAAAGAATTCCTTCCCAATCTCCCATCTCTCCCTGCCCTCTGGCAGTGGGAAGCCATTCCCTGTGTCCTGTCCCTCCATCCCTTCTCCCAAGTCCTTTTCCAGCTGATCCAGCACTGGCAGGGAGAAGCAGGCACTGGGCTCTGCCAGGGGATGGATTTGGATAAGAGCAGAAGGAAAACCTCAAAGCATTCCAGGCTGGGAATCCAACTGCAGCAGAGTCCTCTGCCAAAAGCATTTCATAATGGTCAATTCATGGAAAATTCGCACTGCAGAACCAAGTGGAATATTTTTCCATCCTAAGTGCTGGAAAAATCCCGGCAGCTGCAGCACAAAGCAAAAAGGAGCAGCGCTGACCAATAGGAGGCAAAATGATGCTCCCAGTTCTTTTGGAGATCTCACTGATCCAGGTTGGGCAGGGCCAGGCAAAGGTTTCACTGGGCTCTTGCACGAGGCTGAGCTTTGTGAGAGTTGAAAGGGATAAAAAGCATTAAAAGTATTAAAAAAAATGTTAAAAACATTAAAAAGATGTTTTCTGGATCGTCTGAAACTCCCAAATTCCCTGCTTTTAAAGCCACCTGATCCCTGGTGGAAGCTCTGCAGAGCTCTGGTTTCCATGGCTGGGTGAATTGTTGCTAATTGATATT